ACAGAGCAAAAGCCCATTAACAAAACTGTAGTCACAGAGCAGGCATTTCCAAGAAGATAGACTGATAAGGCTAAAAGAAAAGTAAATTCCCAAGAACCTAAGTATCAGGAAGAAGTGGGGTCTGACCTCTAAAACACAAAATGACACATCCGAACCAACAATTTTCTGCTCCAACACTAATTTCATTAAAGGCAAGCTGATAACACTCTGGAACAAGTAACCTGTCTAAGAAATTGAGCAGAAAACTGGGTGAGCCTCAAATATTGAAACAATTGTTCATCCTGCAAAACACAACAAAATCTAATTTCACTGAAGACAAATTGATGATATTCAAAGAAATGTATGGGCAAACCACTCACCCATGCAAAAAAAGCAATGCACACATGCACATACTGTAAACGGACCAAAACACACTTCTCCCACTATAACAGACAAACCAGCACCTTTCCCACACCAAAACAAAACCTGCACAATACACATTTCAGTCCTGACACCTCCTGGAGTCCCCACCAGACATTCCCCTCTCCTGTTACCCACTTTCTGGTACAATTGAAAATGAAGCATTGGGGTGCAGGTACCATTTCCCCCAAAATAAGGCATAATCTGAAAATAAACCCTAATATGCTTTTTCAGGATGCTTGTATTTATAAGCCCTACCCCGAAAATAAGTCCCAGTTAAGTGAAACCTCACCCTCCATCATTGTGCAGCAACGAGAAGATGACGTGACTGTATTTGAATAAATGTAGATTATTGTCTCCTTTATGGATTGTTGCCTTGTCGTGGCGAAGGGGCTTGAGTAACTCAGAGAAGCTATGGGCTATGCCATGCAGGGACACCCAAGACGGACAGGTCACACTGGAGAGATCCGACTAAACGCGATCCACATGGAGCAGGAACTGGCAAGCCACTCCAGTATCTTTGCCAAGAAAGCTCCAACGTCGGAAACAAAAGGCTAAAAGATATGACGATGAAAGATGGGGCCCCTAAGGTTGGAAAGCATTCAACATGCTAGTGAGGAAGAGTGGAGGACAAGTACAAGTAGTTCCAGTGCTAATGAAGTGGTTGGACCAAAGCTGAAAGAATGCTGAGCTGCAGACGAGCCTGGAAGTGAATGGAAAGTCCGATGGTGCAAAGAAAAATACTGCATAGGAACCTGGAATGTAAGATCTATGAACCCTGGTAAGTCGGATGTGGTCAAACAGGAGATGGCAAGAATAAACATTGACATCCTGGGCATCAGTGAACTAAAATGGACTGGAATGGGCAAATTCAATTCAGACAATTATCATATCTACTATTGTGGGCAACAATCCCGTAGAAGAAACAGGAGTAGCCCTTATGGTCAACAAAAGAGTGGGAAAAGCTGTACTGGGATATAATCTCAGAAATGATAGAATGATTTCAATACGAATACAATACATCACAGTAATCCAAGTTTATGCACCAACCACCAATGCTGAAGAGGCTGAAATTGACCAATTCTATGAAGAATTGCAACACCTTCTAGAGTGGTCCTGACCCGACCAGATAGGCGGGATATAAATAAAATAAAATAATAAATAAATAAATAAATAGAACTGACACCAAAGAAAGATGTTCTTCTCATTATAGGGGATTATAGGGGATTGGAATGCTAAAGTAGGGAGTCAAGAGACTCCCTACTCTAATGGCAAAAAGTTAGGAAGACGCCTGTTTCTTGGGAGGAAAGCGAGGACAAACCTAGACAGCATCTTAAAAAGCAGAGACATCACGTTGCCGACAAAGGTCCGCATATTCAAAGCAATGGTTTTTCCAGTAGTGATGTATGGAAGTGAGAGCTAGACCACAAAGGCTGACCACTGAATTGATGCTTTCGAATTGTAGTGCTGGAGGAGGCTCTTGAGAGTCCCCTGGACTGCAAAGAGAACAAACCTATCTGTTTTGAAAGAAATCTATCCTGAGTGCTCGCTGGACGGACAAATCCTGAAGCTGAGGCTCCAGTACTTTGGCCGTCTCATGAGAAGAGAAGACTCCTTGGAAAAGACCCTGATGTTGGGAAAGTGTGAAGGCAAGAGAAGAAGGGGACGACGGAGGATGAGATGGCTGGACAGTGTCATCGAAGCAACCAACATGAATTTGACCCAACTCCGGGATATCCTGAGTGCTCGCTGGACGGACAAATCCTGAAGCTGAGGCTCCAGTACTTTGGCCGTCTCATGAGAAGAGAAGACTCCTTGGAAAAGACCCTGATGTTGGGAAAGTGTGAAGGCAAGAGAAGAAGGGGACGACGGAGGATGAGATGGCTGGACAGTGTCATCGAAGCAACCAACATGAATTTGACCCAACTCCGGGAGGCAGTGGAAGGCAGGAGGGCCTGGCACGCTCTGGTCCATGGGGTCACGAAGAGTCGGATACGACTTAACGACTTAACAAGAAAAGATTGTTGTACATGAAAAAATAAAACATCCCCTGAAAATAAGCCCTAATGCATTTTTGGAGCAATAATTAATATAAGACTCTTCCTTATTTTGGGGAAAACATGGTACCTATCTTTTATTTTCTGAAAATGCCACTGTGGCCTATGAGTGGTTCAGAGGCCTTAATCAAAAGGAATATGGAACTCAAGGCAGGAATTTCACTTATATGCTCAAAACTAAAAACATATTTTCAACATCTTTAAATATTTGAAGGAGCAGGAAACCTTGGGAGGCATTATTATTTCTTTAAAACAGTTATCTCCAATCTGAGAAGGTACCCCCCCCAAACAATGACAAGCTATAGGTCTTAGACAATCTTCTCTTCTCTAACCCACTTTCTAAGGGTATCTTGTCATATTGGGTATTAAATCTCTCTGTGTGTGCGCACCCCCCCCCATCAAGTTGCTCCTAATTTGTGGCGACCCTTTCTGAGGTTCCCTAGGCAAAGAATACTCGGAAGTGGTTTACCGTCCTCTTCCCTGGGACTGTGCAGCTTGCCTCTGACTGCACGGGCTAGCTCTTCCTCCTGGAGGCAAACCAGGGAATCCAAGTCTCAACTTCTGGCTTCACGGCCAGGCCAGATACGTAACTTGCTGAGTTACCCAACCAGCTCTCAATAAGTCCCTAGATAGCACACAACCAGCAACTGTCTTGTTCACACAATGTTGTGTGGGGTTTTTTTTTGACAAAACTTACTGAAAGAAAGATAAATTACTAAAGAACAAATAAAAATAAAGGATTACTGAGGCAGCTACTTAACTGCTGGGTCAGGGGTTTTAGATTTACATTTGTGTTATGAACGTACTGGGTTTCAAATCATTTTCAGTCACGCCAAAAAGGCTGTGATCACTTGCTTTCACACTGGCATCAAGCAGGTTAGAAGTGGCTAAATCGCGTTGCCCCTCCCATGTGGTTGGATGTTGCCCTTATTATCTCAAAATATGCTGGCTTTACTGATAATGCAACAACAAGTTGCATGGGGGGGGGCGGGAGGCAGAGAAAGGCCCTAATTTTTTTATATAATGAATATAAGAGTTTTCTGCCCCGAAGTTTTCACTTCATGGGGAGAGAGGCTTTCACTGCACCTCCCCTTCTCAGGAGAAAGATCCAATTCCTCAACATTTCCCCAGGCACTCGCGTTACTCATCTCCATTGTCTCTAGGTAGGTGATGAGGGGAATAATGCACTGGATCTAGGATACTTAGGTGCAAGGGCTGTGTTGCTAAACAGAGACAAGAAGATGGAAAGCACACGCTGTTCCTCTCCCACTGGATACACAGGATGTCTATGCCCGTAGGAACTCACTGATTTCTCCCTCCCCCCCCCCAAAAAAAGAGTTCTTCAAAATGTTAGTAGCAGTTGCGGGATCCCCGCAGAGCCCTTTCTTTCTCTATATCAGGCTCTGCTGTTTGGCTGCCTTTTTGGCGTCGCTACGGTTCCACCACCGAACTGGCCGAGAAAGGTGGCACCGGGAGGGAGACACACGTGAGCCCACCTCCCCATCGGGGGCGGGGGGGGAGAGAGGGAGCTGCCCCCCCCACCTGCCCTCCGTCTCCCCGACGGGCACAATCACGGCGCGACTCGGGCGGCGGCGGCGGCCCATCACTTGCTAGGCAGGGCAGGGCGCGCTTGCGGGCGTGGGGGTTAT